GACATCCAACTCTGACCCATCACACCATGAACCTGAAGACCCAATAAGACCCCTCTGTTGAATCGAAACATCCTCCACAACATCCCTATTATTCACCTCTCCACCCGAAGAAGATGTAGAAGTAGAGAGCATTTTGAGAATGATCAGAGCTCAAACCTGAAAATGAAGTGTTAGCTCGTGCAACCCATTTCTGTTTTTCATTTCGAGTCCACCGAGATCCATGGCGACCGACATCCATCATCCTCCGCTCGGGTTTCAGCAAATGAATCGAAGGCTTAGCATGGGCTTGTACTTCTTAAATGGCTTAGGGCCAGGTTTAGTGTTTGGGAAAGAGACAAATAAAGAGTTTGGCCCTTTTCGCACCCTCCTATTAGGCCCAGATCTAATAGGCCCAGCCTGAATCCGCCCACTTGGCCCGAATTTAAGCGGCCCTTTCTGTACCCGTCGAAAAAGCCCAAAACCAAAATTCGCTCTATTGGGTTTAGGCTGAATGAGCCCAAGATTAAGACCGGGCCCAGTCCTGGCCTGTCTAGACATCTTCTGGCCCATCACACTGCCATCCTCAACCCAAAAAGGCAAATTCTTCCCTACCTTATCATCTAAGGATAAAGTCGAATCTGGAGGAGCACCCCGTCGATCTCCACGTGTACTCCTTCTCTGCTCATCAACGACGCGTTGGGCCGGCACATGAAGATCACTTCGTCTTCTACCTCCTATGTACTTCACTGCTTGCTGAATTTCGCGATCCTTCAGCCACTGCTGAATTTCGAGAACCCCCTCTTTTCCTTTACTGAGAATCTCATTCCATTTCTCTTCCGACATAAGATGAGATCCGTCACTACCTTCAAGACTCTCCGTTGAAGGAACAAGCTCCCAAATCGCGACCTTGTAACAGAAGGTGTCGTCATTAATAAACACGAACTTTGGACATTCAAAGCCGATCTCACTGTTATCCGAACACTTTCGGCATCCCTAGTCTCATCTGCATCAGATCTCACATATCCACCACAAAGCTCTCCCACTTCGACGAACAAAGCATGACACCAGAGATGCAAAGGGAGGCCAAACACACCCGATCTGCTTAAGACCTTTATCACTAAGAACGCCACAACACCCAACACGGAAGGACCACATGTCGATCCTCAAAGTTGCAGAACCCCACTGTCGTCACCCTTCTTTCAACACGCGTTTGGCCTCTGCCTGAGAAGGAAACCGGAAAAGAAGCAGTGAATCGGATAACGGCGTTACCCCCATTCCACAAGTCGTATTCCAAGCCCGCGCTGCCCGTTCTTTCACACGATCACAACTCCCCACTTCCTTATCAAATCTTCCGACCAAACAAGAGGAAAGGACTGACTTCCTTCCTCCGACGGACTCCCCGTCAATATATAACGACGGTCCTCGGTGAGGAACTGCCGACTTCACTCCCCCACCAAGCGATATTCTTGGTAATCTTGCAATTTCCAGAAAGGATTTCATCCCAACCTAACAAAACTCAAATTGCCCCACAAGTCGGCCCTAGTGTGGTGAAATCGCACATAGTGATCTTAGTTAATCAATTTTTTTTTATATAATTTTTTTTTTTATTAGTAATAATTGAATTAAAAAGGCATTCAAGAGGGGAACGCATCCCTTATACAAAAGTGGAACCAGGGTTTAAGGCCCCAAAGAAGCCAAAAAAATAATTAAATAAGCCAAAAATATTATATATTTAAAAAATATTTTTTCTTATTTTATATAAATTACCATGAAATGTAATAACTAATTTGCAGCTTCAAGTTGGATAGATATTATTTTTGTTATATATATATATATATATATATATATATATATATATATATATATATATTCTAATTAACCCATAATACATTTTAAAATTACGTTGGAACCCCTTTTTTTTACAATAATAATAACTGCAAAACTACAAAAAAAAATATAGTCAAATTACAAGACAATTCTAGCCGTGTCCAAGAAACGGCCACAACACTCATAGAAGAGTATCCGTGCTTCCTAGATACTCCCTTTGTCCCAAAAAATTTGTCCATCTTTCTATTTTGGGATGTCCCAAAATACATGTCCCCATTCCAAAAATGGATGTATTATTTTTTATAACATTCCCAAACTATCATTTTGACATTAACTTGATTAAGCAAGTGCACCAATTATGGAGTACTCATTTGTCTATTAACAAGGATAAATTTGGAAATTCACTCTTATCAATACAATAAAAAAAATATTAAAAACCCAAAACCATAAAAAGTTGGATTCCCCAAACACCCCAAGAATTTTGGGTCAAAGGGAGCATATATATAACATGACAAACAATTATCATTTTAAATTTTTACATAAATACATATTTTCTATCATGCCATATCCGTATCCATGTCCATGCTTCATAGTTGCTCAGTAATTTCTCAACTAATTATATTTAAAATCCAAATAGCTGAACAATTTCGTCCCTGCAATAAGCCTTATGCCAAAGGAGTGTCTTGAATTAAACCTACTTCATACGTCATGCCAACAATCTCCATCAGCAAATCATATTGCCATATGTTTTTCACTGTAACCAGGTGATTATCCCCACAACCTATCCAAGCCAGTCTCTCTTTTACCTCTTACCATCTAATTAGGCAATTTTACCTCTTAACAGCTAATTAGGCAATTTTACCTCAATTTACCTCTTAACAAATTTGGCCAATTTTACCTCCAATGACTTGTCCTGAAAGGTGTCTGCCATTTATGTGGTAATTGATTCTAACCAGGGACCCTATTGGACAAAGCAGGAGGCTCAATGTCAAACTATCACCTTGTCATCAGACTCATCACACAACTACCCTATTAAATTAAAAAGGGAAAATTGCAAAAAAATATAAAAAGCAACCTTGACTTGTAATGTTTTGCATTAAACCCCCTTCAATTTTTTATTTGCCAAAAAACTCACTCCAATTAACCCCAGGGAGGTTACTTTAAAGGGGCAATTACTAAAATACCAACCACCAAGTCAAAGGGAGTTTTATGCAATTCCCCCGATTGTGTGAATTTAGCTAAAAAAATTCTGTTTTTTATTTTTCCTTGTATATATTTGAACTTATATTTTTTGTTACATGCATCACCATACTTTTAATTAAAGAAAAAAATCAAATAATAATAATAATGAAAAATTAAAATTCATAGTCATGAGTGCAACTACATGTAGTTATTTCTTTAGCATATGCCTCGGCTGCCTAGCATAGTTAAATCCTGCAATATCCTTTCCCCTCATTTTTTTCTTCTATTCAACCAAACAAATTGAGGGAAAAAGGCTACTACATTTCTTTTATTTACATGAGAGAAAAGCCTACTACATTAAAAAATAAACTATAAAAGATCATGTGGTCTGTCTTGTTAATCAAATTAATACTTTACATCAATGATCTATTATAAAGTTTGCATTCTTCCTTTTTCAACCATAAGAGCAAATGCACACACATATATACATATTTACATGTACATAGTACAATAAAGTTAAACTAGAGTAAGATTAATAGCTATTTTATGCCATTCAATTACTTTTTGTAATTAAGATTCATTTTTGTCGATCCAATTGTTTAATTAATTGTCCATCTCATATACTTATATATATACGCATTGTATAAAATAAAAAATATAATATAAATAATATAATAATGGCATACTCCCTCTGTCCCAAAATACACGTCCTACATGGGGAATCCAACTTTTATGGTAGTGGAGTTTTAATAGTTTTTTATTGTATTGATAAGAGTGAAGTTTCAAATATGCCCTTACTAAAAGACAAAATAGTTCTCCGTAATTAGTGCACTTGTTTAGTTAAAAGGATAGTTTGGGAATGTTATAAAAAATAGTACATTCAATTTTGGAATAAGACATGTTTTTTGGGACATCCCAAAATGGAAAGATAGACAAGTATTTTGGGACGGAGGGAGTATATAATATATAATATGAGTAAACATAAAAGATTCGAACTTATATGTAGTTGCACTCATAACTATGATTTTTTTTTTTTCCCCTCTCTCTTTAATTAAAAGTATGGTGATGCATGTAACAAAAAATAGAAGTTCAAATCTTATTATTCAGGGGGGAAAAAAAAAGAAAAAAAAAAAAAAGAATCTTCATAATTGGGCAATTGCATAAAACACCCCCTTGACTTGGTGGTTGGTTTTTTTTTTTTTTTTTTGGGGGGGGGGGGGGGGGGGGGGTGGGGGGAAGGGGTTTAATGAAATTCGCCCAATTAAAAAAAACCCAGAGGATCAATTTGTGGAACTGGCTATGGATCACTAAACATCCTGGGTTTGAAAACTCCTGGAGTTCTTCCGTTTTTTCTTTCTTGAAAATGGAGGAAACACGAGGTTCAACAACTTCAATATATCACCAATTACTCTAGGCTAAAGCATAGGACAAGTCAAAACTATGGTCGCAACTCCATATTCTCCATCTGAGAAAAAGAAGGCAGAAAGATCATGGTATGCAAATTGGGCTACATCAGGATGGAACTGTAATTCATCAAATTATAAGACCAAAATTTCTTAATGCCCCTGACATGCAAGTATGCAACACACCCAAGGATGTCAATCATTCAAGAGCATAAGAGGGAGGGAGGGCAACAATAACTGCACCTGAAATTAGCTTCAAATCATAGTTAACTCCACCAAATACTCTGCCCAAGCTAGAGAAGTTAGAAAATAGTTGACACAACTTAACAGGCATGTGAACTATTCAATAGCAGAAGTGCAATCAAGATAGAGGACCTATGTAACATGGCATGAATAAGCAGCTGTCTAGTTATGTAGTTTAGATACACATTCTAATTGCCACCCTCTATTATATGGTAATAGTCTCATCAGAACCAGGACATAGTTTGTTGGAAAGGAAAGCATGCAAAACCTTGTTATGCACCAAAAGCAAAGAGGTTCACGCATGCATAAAAATCAACAACGAAAATGAAACTAATCAAGTTACTAATCCTAATTGCAGGTACCAACCTTGTTTGCCCAAAAAAGACCACAAGCATTGCAAAGGGTCCTTGGACCAGCCGGGCCTCGCCGCATCATTGGAGTGGACTTTGAACTAGTGCCGCAATGAGTGCACCTAAACAGAGCAGGCAAATGATCCAAATGGTAAAGAAATCAATCACGAAGTTTCTTTTTGAGAAGCCAAAATTGTGAAATTATAATAGTAAGATGCACACAGTAATGTCATACTTTAAGGGCAATAACATATAATATAATTCTTAAAGAAAAAAGGAAAAAGAAAATACAATGAATACTTCATAATATGGACACAAAACGTAAACTAAATTATGCCCAGTGGAGGACTATAAGAAGTGATACTGCTTCAGGAAAGAATATAACTCTTGAAGACAATACAGCACTCACAAAGTTTCTGGTGGGCTATCTTGTCCTGAATCCTCAGCAGTACTCCAGCCCTCCTCGGACTTTTTGGAAGAAGTAAATTGACCCTTCTTACGTTGCATCCTGATGTAGTCACACATATAAATATGAAATAAGGAGGCATGAATATACACCCCTGAACAGGAAGGAACAGCAAGAAATGGCAAAACTAAAATAGTATCGAAAAAAATGCATGCTTTCTCAGTGACCTGTTTGTACAGAAGTCAGAAAACACAGCACAATATAGCAGGGCCATAAAAGCCCCTGAACAGTTCCTTCAAGATGGATTCAAATTCCAATTGTACACAGCAAGAAATGGCAAAACTAAAATAGTATTGAAAAAAAATGCATGCTTTCTCAGTAACCTGTTTGTGCAGAAGTCAGAAAACACAGCGTGATATAACAGGCCATAAAAGCCCCTGAAAAGTTCCTTCAAGATGGCTTCAAATTCCAATTGTACACGTATAAACTTCTTATTCTGGATATAGGGTTCGCTTATGGAATTAAATGAAATAACATAATCATCAGTAGAACATCTAACTCAAACCTTCCCCCCACCCCACAATTTAGTTTACACTTTGTTGAGATTTTAAAGTGACCAACAGTCAAAACAAAATCTTGATGCATATTCAAGTTTTAAAATACCAAACTGTCACCATTTGTAAGTGTTAATACAATTACGGATCTTGTATAGATTGGCATGTTGAGATCGAGTCTGTATAAGAACCTGAACTGTTGCTTGAGGCTTAGTGATGATGCCGTTAAGGCAAGTGGAAGGTGGGTAATGAAAAGAAATCTGACAAGGAGAAGTTTGATGGAGGCCTGTGTCCAACCAAGAAGACCAAAGAGACGCCTTTAAATTGGCATAGTGGTAGCAAAGAGATGCCAAAGGGATCCTTCTCTTGGAATGAATAGGTCACTTATAGACGATATTGTCAATTAATGTTCTTTATTCATTAGCGAAGGGCTAACACCATCGTAAATGAGCCATTTGCTAAATGTGTCCGCAAAGCAGAGGATGATACAGGAGCCATTTGCTAACACTTATTGGCAAACAGTAGGTTATACAACATCTGAAAGCCATTTGGTGCTCCCACAGCATTGACAGAGTGTCATAAGGATTTGGCGACACTGATTCCACTCAATATCACGTCAACTACTTAACGTTGCCTCGACAACACGCTGAGATCCTTCTAGGGTAACAGCAATGAACCAGGCTCTTCATGGCTTGATTTATTTCAGGCATTTGGACTTGTTCAAAAAGTTAACGAACAGAACGTGAACCCAATTATCAAGCTGGCTTAATAAACAAGTCAAACCAAAAGATGCCCAGCTTGACTCAGTGGGGCTTGTGGATAGCCATTAATGGTATATATGTAGTTTGCTGAACTTTCATGGTTATTTGTTAGCATTATATTTGTTTGAATTGTCAAAACATGTACCGTGACATAAAAAAGTATCAAAAGAATCATGACAAAACCTGCGAGGATTGACCAACTATTCATCCTTATTACTTTTTATGGACTAGTCATATTTGTTCTGCGGTCTGACATCTGTTTAATTTTATTCTTGTCTCAAATTGCACCTAGATTTGTTAACTCCAACCTAAACATTTTATGACATGTGGTTAGATGGAATGTCAAACCTGTAAACTCACTTTGCATATTGTGATATTACCAACCTGACCTAAAAAGGTTGGGGGCCCGTCAAATAACAAGAAGCAGAGCTCGAACTGTTATTTCCTGGCTCATCTTAAGCCTTAGACGAGTATGAACACCTTTCAACCTAACCAATCTCAAACAAGCTGATACTTGGCATAGAGCAGTTCATCTATAGCCCTAGATCCTACAAATCAAACCACAAGCCTCCTCCCCCATCCATGTGGTTCATTGACTATTCTGATGTCACCATTGCAGGGGCCATTATTTAAAAAAAGGGGCTAGCCTAGAGCATGAGGCTCCTACCACTGAAGGGTCTGGAGATGGTCAGATGTACGTAGCCTCACCTCCGCATGTAGAAGCTGTTTCTTGTTTCGATCCCGTGACCTCCAGGTCACAAAGGAGCACCATCGAGTCTAAATACGACCACTTAATGAAAAAATATACCAAAGAGAGTATCTAGTCCACCCCAGTCAACACCCCCACATTAATTGAACCAACACCGAATAACAACCTTATAAATGTCACCCCTACGTAATCTGGATCCCATTATTAGTGGATCCTTGTGTCCGTAATTATGAGGTTGACAGTTTAACATCTAGTGAGGGACTTGGGTATGTTTGGATTTTGCTACGGTTCACATTTAAAGGACGGCTTCTACAAATTTCCAATAAATCTCGTATCCTTTAGATTTCCATGAAGAAGTACATGTCCTCATTTTAGCCACTTTATGGTTTTCACGTGAATCATCCAAAAAGATTTCTATAATTAGCAAAAAGTGGTCTAGTGGACAAGAGTTGGCAGACGACAAATTGTCACCATGATAGTTTCTAGCTTTCCTTGTTGGGGCCTCAGATCAATTTAAATCCAAGTACACACTTCACTAACACTTTTGTTACCCAAAATAAAGGTAGAGCAAGTCTTTGATGAGGGCGCCTTCAGTGAGCTTGCGTCCTTATCATAAAATTTTTTTTTTTCCTAGTTGGTAGTCACACACACATGCCTCCACCGAGGTTCAAACCCCTTACCCTCCCTTTGGAAAGTAAGAACTTGGTACCGCTAGGCCGGCCCGTTGGTATCCTTATCATAATATTAGCAATAAAGGAAAAGACTAGTGCCTCTACGGTTCTACCTGGATACTTGGGAATAGAGATAGAAGAAAACATAAACAAATAAAGCACTTAAGAATAAAATTTATACCTCCAGGGAATGCAGAATTTTATGTAACAAAGCAAACAAATAACAAATGCAAGGAGGAAAACCCTTATCCACAAAAGAAACAAACAAATGCAGTACAAAAACACTCATATTTGTAAAAGAAGTTGAATTGTCGATCATCATAACATGGAAATTGTAGAAGTTTTGGAATAATGTTTTCATTAAATGCATTGATAACCAAATGATGAAAACTTTTGATTTGAAAATCAATGAAGCCCATAATTATGTTTCCATATAATAGCCAGATTACTTTGCCTCTTACTTTGGGAAGCTGTGACAAAAAAATTCATGCAATGATGTAAGGTTAAAGCCTACGTGCGAGCATGTCTTCAGAACAGTAAACATCATAAAATAGATCCTAAAATGAGCTGAAAACTTATAAAACCTTGCAGTAATATCAGAAAATATCAGTTCTGAATTTTAATGTACGAGCGAGGAATTATATGTAAGACTGATGAAAAGGTCTTCAACGTGAAAGTTATAAATTTCCATGCTAAAATGGAGTACTGAAGAGAGTGATAAATGATAAACTTCTTCTCAACATTAAAGGGGATATTCATCTATCACTACTTCTCATAAATGCTTTACTTGTGCTTAGGAAGTCCTATCTGTTTTAGTAAAAAAAGAATCATAAGATCAACACATTAAATGACCATACCTGAGTGCAACTTCTTGGCGGACATTATATCTAATTTTCTTATCAAAGCACCGCTCTTTTCTCTTCTGGCGGAACCTATTCAGCGAGGCAGCTCTCTGTGGATGACTACAACGTGGATAGTCCATTGAACCCTAGAGCAAAAAACAGTCAAATCCATAAAGAAACCAAAATCAATCAAAAGTAAAAGAAACTTGCATGATTAGGAAAATACCCTCTGATTCTGATATGCTAGTTCTAAACCTTGTCCGGCCGCAGAAAATTCACATCCCCCCAAAAGTAGAAGCACTGACTGAACCTGAAATTTTTCAACCAAATACAAATCATTAAAACCAAGATGTTATTTTTCAACCAAATGCAAATCACTAAAACCAAGAAGTTCACATTGCATGTATACGGAATGTTTTCTTTATGCCAGTACAGTGCAGAATGTTAGCACCTAACTAAGGCCGATGGACATACAATTTTGAATCATATATATATATATATAAATGGTCTTTTAATTTTCGAAGATTGCCCACTTACTCTAAACCAACTAATTTTGCATTTTTTTAATGCAAAATTAGTTTTTCTTCTTCTTTCAGTGTGAGAAAATAATGTTTTCTCAACTCCTATCTTATGAAAAATCTAAAATTGATACTTTTTCCTTCTTTTCCTCCATTTAGCCACCGCAAAAAGCAAGAGAAAAGCTCAGGTTCGGCCCTAACCCAGAGTTCTCATCAACAAAAACCTCCAGTTAGTTTCCTTTTCTCCATTCTCACCAAACAAACAGCAAAAACTATCAATGCAAAGAAAAACCCTAGTTTACAGAAAAAAAAATATTAAAAAATATATAAATTTACCTTATCTGTTGTTACAGAGTCGAACACATAGACCTGACCACGGAACGACAGCGTGAGCTGGTTTGCACTGTCGTTCTGTTGAACGGACAGATCAGAGCCGCCGTCGGCATAGACGGCGTCAGAGGCGTCTATTCCACCGCCGTCTTCCAGACCTTGAGCTTCGTATGGAACATGCGGGCTGTCCATGGAGTCGCCACCGGCGTTGGCATCGTCTCCGTCGCCGCCGACGAACTGGTCGTGGACGTTCAGGGGTTGAGAGTGCCCGTACATTGGTGGTTTTGAGGTCGGTTCAATGGCCTCGAAGGAAGCATTACAGAGCATATAAGAACCCAAAAAAAAACCCTAACCTTTACCAGTTGTATCGTGGAACAATTGACAATTGTTGTGTGTTATGTATGTATACGTGTGTGTAATTGCTCGGTGAAACGGTTGTCCAGAATACTCCTGGAGAGTTTGGGGGTTTCCGAGTAGAGAGTGAAGGACAGCTCAAGACAGGAGTTGCTTGTGGAAGGAAGAGATTGACCCTTAAAAGGGACGGTATTTACGAGGTTTACCCTCTAGGTCAATGGAAGAGAAGACATTTTGTCATTTAGAGGGTGCAAAACATAGAAGGTTAATTTAAATGACATCTTTATCGCCTTCAAATATTTTTTAAAAATAACTATCATTTAAATTTATTTTTATTCTTCCGTCACATTTCCATTAAAAGACAATTTTGTTCTTAATTTTTTAATTCTATTTATTCCTAAATATCAAGTTACTTAAATACCTATTATACCCTTATTATTAAAACCACGTATCACCACCACCTGTATACCCGCCAATACACGAATACGATGAAAAAATAACGTATATAATATAATATATATATATATATATATATATATATATATATATATAACATAAGAAACAATAAAGATATATAATATGATTTGTAAATTTATAAAATATTTAGTGATATTTTAATCTTTTAATCTAATTATTTAAGTTAAAGAGTTATTTTGACAAAATTAAAAAATATTTAAATCATTTTACATTGTGTCAAAATTATGCAAGTAACGATTGGGGTGTGAGTGAAAAATGAAACAAAAATTTGTAATACCACTAATAGTTATTTTTAAAAGATGTTTGAAGGTGATATTTGACCAAACCTGATCATGTGTTAGTGAAATTAACTAAAAAATAAAAATAAAAAATTTTTGGAACCACTAATATATATATATATATATATATATATATATATAACATTATAAAAAGTAAGTGTGAGTCGTGGAAAGACTTGTTTTATATTCTCATTATAAAAAATGACAGCTACACCAGCCATATTATTGATCCACGGTTATCATAATCGTGAAATTTTTTTTATCTTGCACACAACGCCAGAAATGGATCCAATTGCAATTTTGTATAACATAATTTGATGAAGATGATTTTTTTTTTTTTAGTGAATTTTATTAAATGTTATAAGACCATTTAGCATGAGTAATGATTTATTTATAAATTCTAAGTCATTGATTTGATTAAAAAGAGTTGAGTAATTTTATATTTTTACTAAATCAATAACTACTCCATTGAATAACTCTCTCTACTTTTTCTCTCTTTTCTTTCTACCCTTTTTGCCGCTTTCAACTTCGTCTTCCCCAATTGATTTTCTTCCTGCTCCCTTTCATGGGAGTGGGGAGGTGCCGTTAAAATCTACATGTAATAATAAGTTCGCTTTATGGATAGTTTTCACACCGTTTTTACTATTATTTTACTAGATCTATACCTGTTTGGCTTATTTCCGGCTAGTCCAAGTGGATCGGTTGTTTTCTCTCCGGCTAGATCTCAGATTTATGTTGATTTTTGTTATCATCGACTTGTGAATGTAATTTTGAAACTGTTGCCTTGATGATGGCCTGACCTTTGGGTCACTCCCGTTACTGCTATTCTCCCTTGGTGGTTTCCGTTGTTTTTCTCAACAAATTTGGAGCTTGGTCTTTATTTTTCTTATTTTGTTTCATGATTTGTATGTCTTTTTCGTATACTGTCTTTTAGATGCCGAATGCTGTTTTTTTATTGGCAGGTAAAAATATATATATATAATAAAATAATTACTCATAGATTTAAGAATGAAGGTTAAAAGAATAAATAAAATACATTAAAAATATATATAATACAAGTCAAAGGAACTCTTCCATGCTTTTAACATTCTAAAATAAATTAATACATATTAATGTTAAAGTTTATAATTATTAATTAAACATATAAAAGTAGCTTGTAGTATTTTGTTAGAGGGTATGTTTTTCAAGTAACTGGTCAATATGTAAAAATCATACATGGTTTTCCAAAAGAAAAATCATTAAATATATTTTTAGTATCTTTATTGACATAAATGAACTAACTGGCGTGTTTATTTGGGTGTGGTGTAGCAGGAGAAGAAATCAATGATCGACCCTCCCGGTCTATTCGTCGAAAAATTTCCGGTTCAACCATGGGTAAAACTTAATAACTCTAGTAGCTTAGAGAAACCTTTAATCCTATTTTAATAGGAGTGGCTTGGGGAGATCTTTAATATTATTTTATTACATTGTTTTTGTTACGAGGTTTCATAATCGCGCTTCGGAATCGAACCGAATCAATCTTTTTTAGTTGGATTCCAATGTTCAACTATTTTAATTTTAATATCAATTTTTTTAGAAACCGTTGAGATCTGTTTTTAATAATTTGGCTTGGAACTGTAACAAATTGAACCACTTGCACACCTAATGGAAAGTTTTGGTAGAGTGCTCCAAAAATTTTGCAAAAAAAAATAAAAATAAAGATAAAGTAATTGAAAGGACACATATTGAAATTGAGTTTAAAGAGATTTAGGTCAGTTTGGTTTAGTTATCAGAGAATAATTTTTTAATTTTTGAGTACTGAAAAAAAAAAATGTACAAAAAAATGTTTAATTGTCAATTTTTGAAAATTATTATTTTTTTTTTGAAAATTCAATTTAAAACAACATATGTTTTCATAGAACCATCTATTAGAGTTTTCAAAACAATTTTTTTTTTTTTCAAAGTTATTAGAGAATTATTTTGAATAGCAAACCAAGCAAGCCCTAAGCTTTCTAATCAGAGTAAATGAAAATCCAAGAAAGTTTATAATATTTATATTTTAATTACTTATATTGCAATTGAATAATCTAATCGAAAGTTCTAACCCATAAATGTTTAGACATAGCAAATATAAAATTATGTCTAAACATTTATAAAATTATGCAATAAATTGCAAATATAATTTATGATTTTCATCCTTATAATTCCTAGTTAACTCCTATCATTGCATCAAATAACAGTATACCAAAAAAAACACTTTGATGATTAAATTTGATTTGCATGATATGATTCTAATTATTATTTTTTCTCTCATGTTTTGGAATAAAATTTGAGGAGTACTAGTTGCGCATGTAAAACACATGTTATTGAAAATAATAATAATAATAATAAAAGAAATAGGGTATTTAGAGATTACTTCATTAGCAATTAGGTTTGCAAATAAATTGAACTTTCTACTGTTGAGTAGCACATTCCAGAAAGATGCTATTTAAGAAAGGGGAGTTGGAAGAAATTTTGCTTTTGGAGGTCCAAACTAGAACTTAGGACTGGGCACGGATTGGATCGGTTCGGTTTTGGGTAAAATTCAAACCAATTCGATCTTCACGGATTGGCTAAATCTGAAACCGAGCTGATCCGTGGGGATTCTCATTCCGAACCAAACCGATCCGTAAAATAATAGATTGGTTCGGTTCGGTTCTCACGGATTGGGTCTGACACAACTTAGAAAACTGAAATTAGAGGCAAAATACTTTTATTGTCTTAGTCATGCATGAATTTAAAGGGAAAAAGAGGATCTGTTATTGTTAACTCTGTTTCGAAATACTGATTTTTGTTTGAGTCATGCATGAATTTCTAAAGAATATACATATTAATAAATGGGCTATGAAAATGACAAAGTAGAACTGAAACTAAGTGACGAGATGGAGCAATCAAGATTTTTTTCCAGAAAGAGAAGAACAAAAATTCATAGAAGAAAATAATGAAAAACTTATGAACTCACTGGAAATTAAATTTAGATGAAAAGGAAATAATCGGCCGGTGTAAATTAGAGATGCTTACTTGTGTGGGTTCCATAAGAGACCGAGAGTATTGGGTAACCCGAGAAGAGTGGGCTTGTGGGATCAGATGAGACTTGATGAGAGGCCAGAGACGCATGCAAATGAAATGAATATAAAAACTAAAAAGTGTAAAACACTAAGCCACAAAGTAGTAAAGCATCTGGGTTCGTAAAACAATAAAACTTTTGAAAACTTAATGATTAAAGAAAACAAAAACATCAATAATGTATTTAGCATATATTGTATACTATATATGTTATATAATATATGTATATTAGTTCTACAGATTGGCCACGGATCAGTTTACGGATCGGTTCGGTTTTTTCAGCACCCAATCTGTTAACCGATCCGATCACTACAAATTACTAATTTTTCAATCCATCATCGAAGCACGACACTAGAAAACCAAACTGATCCGCACGGATCGGATCGGTTCGGTTTAATAGATTGACGGATTATTTGAACTATGTACTTAAAAACTCAAAAATTTATAAATCAATCGTAATATAATTTGTTTATAATATTTAGTCTTATTATATTTATTGAGAAAAATATAATTCAAATAATTAGAAAAATACAACCAAAATAAATAGAGATGGAACTTTGCTTGGACACACGAATAAAAAATAAAAAATAAAAGAAGAAGAAAGAAAAAGAAAAATGAAAAATATTGTTAAACAATTAATTTTCCTTTAACAATTTGATTTCAATTTGGGAAAGATAGATATATCATTATTCCCTTGACGAATGACGACTGATTAAAATAGAGAAATACACCCTTTTAACTAAATAAAATCACAATTATTACGAACAATACAGAGAAGCATTTATTTATTTATTTATTTTTAAACTTTTAATAACTCGTGGAGTACTTGTAAAATTTATCATTTAAAAAGTCTCTACTAAAAAATAAAAATATTAGCATATATTTTATCATAGTTGTTATTGGCAATTTTTGCCATTTTCGTACTATACTAATTTAGCCTTTTCATCTTCTCAGTGTTCTAAAGGCTCACATATGGATATTAGCATGTAATTTAAGATAACATTTATTTTCCCTCCAATATCAGTGAGGAAGAGTTCCCTATCATTAGGGTTTCCTAACAGGTTTAGGGTTTCCTTGCCGCCTTCGAGGTTTTTTTCGTGCCAGTGTTTTCTTGTATCCATCGAGTGTTGTGAGATCGGCTCATCCGATCTGTTGTGGTTGCTCTTTCGGTTGGTTCTTACCTTCTTTTCTAGTCTTTGTTTTTCCTTTTCCTTTTTGTGGGGATAGGTTGGGATTATGTCTCTGCGTTCCTTGTTGTCTGTTTCTCTTTTCATTCTCTAAAATTTGGTGTTCTGTTGTTCGCGATTTGGGTGTGTCGATTGGGTATTGAGCTCACCTCTCTTTGATATGTCTTCATTTGGGTGTTATTCTAGATTTTGACTTACTATTAGCAAACTTTTAGTTATGTGGAAAATTTGGTAGTGCTCTATTTCATTCTTCTGTCTTTTCTCGTTTGATTTGTTCCTTCTCGTGGCTGGTTCAACTGGTGGTCTGCTTTGGGTTGTTTCTTGTTTTTTTGGATGCCGATGGTTATTGTATCTACGCGTTGGAGAGCCTTTCACCTGGGATGTGATCGACATTGAGTGCTGTTCTATTTGGGTCCGTTTCTTCCAATCTTTGGTCTCAATTGGAACTAGCTTTGGATTGGCGATCCCATTTCGAAACTGTTGCATTGTCGAGCTTGGTGTTGCGATCGATGATGGTTTCGTTTACTTTCTTTTTGGTTTGTTTGTTGCACCATGATCACCGGTGGGACGCATGGTTTGCCTGTTACTATGTCGACTTGTCGGCTTTTTGGGTTGTTTCCTCCTTGGTGGGCCGACTTTCAGCTGATGTCATGGATGCCGTTTTGCCAAGATTTTCTGGATGATTTGTTTGGATTGCTATAGGGCCTGCATATTGATTTCGTTCTTAAGGCAGTGCTACAACTGATGTCATTGCTGATCTGTTTGGCTTGCTGTGGGGCCCGACTCTTGACTTAGCTCTATGGTTGTATAAGGTGGTGCTGCACCTATTTTCTTTAGGTATGGCTTTTGCTATTGATCATTCTTATCTATTCTGTCTTTGTATGACATGTATGGTTCAGATTGTTTGGCGTAATGGCTACGCCTTTGTTATGGCCGCTTTAGGTCTTATATATCATTTTTATGTTGCTATCTGTGTTCCACTTTCTTTCTGCTCTTGGGTTCTTTTCTTCCTTGGGTCTTTCCTTTTCTTTTTGTCTTCCTTTTTAGTTTCTTTTCTGTTTGTTTTTAACTGGGTGGGAAGACTTCCATGGGGGGTTGTGGGTTCCATTGTGTTCTTTTGTTGGAATCTTGTTTTTAGGATGGTGATGGAAGCCAATATTCTGGCCCAATTTCGTGGTATGACGTTGACCCAGAAGGAACATGAGCCTATTCAGCTGTTGGTGGATGATATTGCCCAAAGTGATCAGATGTGTCGATCGAGTTTATTTGCGAAGTTGTGGGCCTCTAAAACTACCACTTTGGCAGCGGCTAAGTTTACCTTTGGTAAACTATTTAATAAATTATGGCCAAAAGATAAGTAGTAGGAGCCTATTGCCAAAAGGTTACAAATTTTTAAGGTGGCGCGAAATTTATTTCAGCTGAGTATCTCGGATGCTTCTATTCGATAGCGTATCTTGGATAGATGTCCATGGCTTTTTGATGGACATTTGGTGGTGATTAAAGAGTGGGAGGAAGGTTTATTACGGTCTGATGTTCCATTTCAAGTATCTCCTTTCTGGATCTAACTCTTTGATGTGCATGCTAATCTTCTGTCAGAGAAAGTTGGGCACTAAATCGCTTCTTCCTTTGGTCGCTGTATAAAAGTCGAATTGCGGGATAAAAGGGTGACTGAAGGGAAGGAGTTGGTGGGAACTGATAGTCGAGTCCTTTGGCTTAGGGTGGAGATGGATATTACGCAGCCTTTTAGGCGTCATATCCTTCTTACCAGTCCAATGGGTGAGGAGTCACAGGTGCAAGTTCACTATGAAAAGTTGCCCTTTTTTTGTTTTGCATGTGGGATTATAAGTTATCAATGAAAATCTTGTCCGAATGGGCTTTCTGTGGGTCCTGAGGATCTTAAGGAGTGTGGGACTTGGTTGGGGGTGGATGATTTCTTGGGGAAAGACCTTTGGAGTATGGATAGAGATGGGGTGGAGTCGGTTAGTGATGGGTCTCGAAAAAATTGGTTGTATCTGGAAGACGGGGATACTGATCATGAGGATGGTCTTGCAGGGTCTAAATCTTCTTCTCTGTTTCGTTAGATTCCTACTTGGGAAGGTTATCAATTTGGTTTGCATGCTAGTGGTCTGGGTTTTATTTTGGGGGAGAAATCAGGTAATGAGGTGGTTGCTCTTTCAAGTGTCAGTGGACAGTCATGCCTGGTTGGAGGTAATGGTCTTAGAGAATTTTTAGGTGGTCCAATCGGAGTTGTGTTATGGGATCAGGATGTTGGGAAGGGTGAAGTTGGTGGGTCTTTTGGTTTTCCTGTCTTGCAACTGGATGGTGGTATTATTCCAGTCTCCTCGTCGCAGAGTCACGTGGTGTTAGTGCAAAATGAGGAGTTTTTGGCTTCGGATCCAGTCCCTTCTCCTATTAAAGGTCGGATCCTTCCTTTGCAAAGGTGGGATAAATTATCTAAAGGCTGGAAGAAAGCTAAAAGCCGTGTCAAACCAGTGTTTGGGTCTACTTCTGATTCCTCTGCCACTTTTCAGAGCCAAGGTTCTTCCCCGGCTAGAAAAGGTCGCAAACGCCGCCAATCCATCTTTGGCGCATGGGCGAGGTGAAAAAAAACTTAAGGCTGTGGTTGCCAATACAGTGGAACAGACAGTGGCCATGAATGTTGTTGGTGGTGAGGTTGGGTTGAAATCTGAATCCTCTGGAAAGTCTGGGGCTCACCTGACAGAGTCATATAATTAATAATCTTCTCAGTCTTTTGCTAATCAGCTAGCATTACTTGTGGGGGCTAGTACTCCCACAGTTACTGACACCTTTTAACCCTTGTTATTGTCAAGACTGTGATCTTGGCATGGGTGTTAGTTTCTGTAGCTAGTTTTTGTTTTTTGCTGTTGTATGTGGTTCTTGTATGGATGTTGTAGTTTGATCCTTGCCTATAGATGCCGTATGGCGCTTTTCTTGCTAGGTTAAAAAAAAAAAAAAAAAAAATTTATGATAACATTTTATAAACATCGTCCAACACTAATGTCTAATAAATGGTTCACGTATCTTTAATAAACATTTCTCCTTTTGTTCTAGTTTTAGATCACAAGCAAATTTGCGGACCCAAAATAATGTCTTAGCATTGAATTTTTTTATATGGTCCAAGACTATATGGTTTCCATTAATCACAACCCGACATGCAAGTAAAAAACTAAATAAAGTTGACACATTTGTTTGTGTGTTAGGTTGTGGCTAACCGAGACGATATAATAATTTTCCAATCCCATCTCTCTCCCATTCCTTCTCCCTCTCCCATATAACAAAACAATCAAACAATTCTCCATTTCCTCTCCCTTTCTTCCTTCCTATGGTATTTCGTTATACATGTTAACCAGTCTCAATGGAGAAAATTTTAAAAGAGTAATACTATAATGAGAACCCTTTCATAACAAGAGATATGAACTCTCCTTATTTAACTATTGAATTGAAACAATATTTTTTTAAAATTTGTAAAAAGTTAAATAATTTATTTAATAAATCTCTTAATTCATAGGTTAAATCTAGAGAGAGTCTGTCGTTATAATATTACTCTTTTTGAAAATAAATTATAAGTCCGACCCATATTTTTTGTGTCATGTATCCACGACAGTGTAGACCCTTCACAACTATTCCATCAAATGTAAACGAATTTACGTGAATCAGAGAACGTTTGCAGTGTTTGGTTTAACTGTATAGATAGATGATACTCAGCATTGGTTGAAAGTCCAGATTTATGTTGAAGTAGTTGCTCTCCACCACATCAGTCCTATTTAGATTTACCAGGTTTAGAATGGGTTGTCAAGTTATAGACAAGTTCAACGCCTGAATTGCAGTAAACCAACCTTAACTACCCAAACCCTAAACTTTTTATTTTTATTTTTATTTTTATTTTTTTGGTTCCAAATAACTCTTTCAACTTTGTAGAAACTGTCATATTACACCCCTGAACTAGATAGCCGTCCCCTAGGGAATTTTACCAGTAATTATCTGGTGGATGTGGAATGGGACTTCATGTGTCCGGTGGTAAATTACTGGGTGCTCTAAAAAACCCAACACCATCATGACCAAAAAAAAAAAAAAAAATCCCTAGATAGCCGCCTTGCACACACACTTCAGGATGAAGCTTTAATGATCTAATTCCCGTGGATAGGCATTCATGACATATTGATCCAATTATAGCGAACACCACCACTATGGCACGATCAATTATTTGAAAGCGTAGACATCTGTAACATTATAAACTACAATATGTAAGCATCATAAAATTTAACTTCCAAGTCCACTTACAAAAAGTGAAAATGAAAATAAATACATTATAATGAGTCAATGAAATCTGCAGTCTCAAGTGAAGCAATCTGCACGCTGTAGCTGAACCGAACCAAATATAAAACTGCCACAGGTTGTGCTACTCTGACAGAAAGATCTTACAAATAGACAGTTCAACACAATAACGCAGTTTTCAAAGTCACCGCCCTCAATCAAAACCGATAAATCTGTTCAACTCTAATGATCAGAATATCATTTCCAATCTACAAACAACAAAGGAAGGGCAAGAAAGAGAGGAAATAACTCATTCAATACCCCATATGCAAAGAACATGATTTTTTTTGAAGATCAGAACGATCATTACAGATCTTTGGATGAAAAAATTTCTATTCAATACAGGAGGTGTTCCATCTATACAATGTTCTTTTTTATTTTCTTCTTCTTCTATTTGGTTGGGAGGGAGGTGGGTGGTTAATCTCACTATTAAGAAAGGCAAAGAGAAGCTGAAATACAGCCTAGATAATGCACAACATTTCTGATCTAACCTTACAAGAATGTAATGTACATGAATCTAGTGACGTCTGGTTCCCCCAACAGCCAACCTCAATGCTGTTGAGAAAAGTGAATTTGAATGGTGGCATTTCTCCGATCTTTATCCCGACTTTTCTGGGAGAAAAAGCACCTGCAAACATGTTCTGGATGGTATATACTGCCATTTGAAGAAGTTTTAAGTATGTTTCGTCTTTCTGAAGTGCCGCCGATGGAGCTGTTTGTATCTTTTAATTGTCGTCATTCACAAAGCATGTCAGAGCTGACGTCTCGACAGAAAGGAGATTGAGGGTCTAAACAACATCTCCAGATGTGATGGCACAAATTAATATTCTGCATTTTTAGCAGACTCCATGTAAGAAAAAGAAAAATACAGAACAGTGAGAAAATTCCAGGCATTTACTGAAAGCATCATACAGTGAACTGCATTTTGCATTATGCCATGGCACGTATACTTCATTCAAGAATAAAGAACAAATACAGACACCTAAATAACTATGGCTTAAATTTGGATTCTATAATACATAAGATATCATTATTGCCAATGCAAAATAATTCACTATTTTTCTTTAAATAAAATGTGTAGGAAAGCTTAGTTGAATTTGACTATGCTTCTAGGATGATTGATATCCAGATTAGCTGAAGTGTCCCAAAGGAATAATTGTTTCTGTCAGGTATAATCAATCTGTTCTCAAGTTGCTTGGTTGTCATGAAACCAGTTAACGATACAATTGTTTGCTCAGAGAGCAGGAAACATATGCTTCCTGGCAGGAGTGACAAGGTAGATCACTAAGGTCGCAATGAGGTAAAAACAATTTTCGGCGATTTGATTATTATTATTTATTTAAATAAACTCCAATTAGGCCATAAAAATCATATTAACAATCAGATGGAGAAGGATTCATTCACCGACATTACTAGACTTGTAATGACAAGGGTAGTGATAAGTCTACATTGGAGGTAACACAACATAGGTGATTCTTACGTAAGAGTATGGAACATAGGATTTTAAATTGGATTTTAAGTGTTAGGACCGTCTCCTTGAGGGTTTTTTCATTGCAATTTCCACATAAATTTGAGTCTCTTTACTTAATTGCTTGATGCTGATTGTGGATAATGAATGATCATCTAAACGAAAAATAATTTATTGAAGTTCGAAAAAACAATATTTTTCCACATGAACAGATCATTTTAAACATGTGAGATGACAACTAATATCTAGAAGGAAGTTGGTAAATGATCACTTAGGCAAGTTCTAGGTTGAGAGAAACCGGCTAAGAGGGGTTAAGAATAAGGATCTTATAATGATGGCAAAACCTCTATATGAAAGAGGATTGCATAGTCAAGGAATATTTTCTCTGTTATTGAGAACCTCTATTGTACATTATATTAAAAGATCAATTTTATGTTAACTCGCAACACATACTAATCCATAACTGAAGGGCATATTGACCGGTGCAAAATTTTTGGACCTCTCATACCAAGCAAGTTTCAGCCAACCATGCAACTGGGTCAATGTTGGTCAGGAGACACCATACAGCTTTCAGCTACTCAAACGTTTTATGGGCATTGAATTGATGAGGAAATTAGATTAACATTTTAGGGTGATAAAGAATAGCAGACTGTTGGGCACAGCGGAAGCAATACAAGACAAAGAAATAAAACAATCACAAAAAACAAAAGATATACGTGGTTCACCTAAACTTAGGGCTACGTCAACGAATGAGGAGATGGTACTATAATCACGTAAAGATATTACAACGAAAGAGAATATTGAACACCAGATCGTGTACACAAACTCTTGCTCCAGGGTAGGGTGACAGATACCCGAGCCTTAACATCAGTGCTTTTAAGCTCTTAGAGAGGGTGTAACTTTAATATTTAAATCCTTCAACACCCCTCATGTGTGGTATTCTTTTTGATCCAACACGTGTTTCAATTTTTAATTATTAGGGTGACGGTGAGGTTTGAACTTGAGACATTTGGCTCTCATACCATGTTAACTACATCTACTCTAAAACCTTAAACCCTTAGAGAGGGTGTAACTTTAATATTTATACCCTTAACATACCAATCAAATAAAACATATTAGCATAACTAACACAAGTAGAAAATAATAGACACAGTTGTATCAAAATAAAGAAGGATTAAATAAAATTCCTAAATCAAAGAAAAAAAGGGGCTAGGGAGGACGTGCCTCCCAGGCCTGAACTCTCTCCGTCCCTGTATATAAAGAGTGTTATGACAAACGTAGTGAATCCAAGAACAAATCAAGAAACGTAGTAGAAAAGTAAACACCACACATAAAGAACACAAAGATTTAGTGTGGTTCGGCAAAGCCTATATCCACGGTGGAGATTTGGCGAAAGTTTTCACTATGTGAAAAATAAGAAATTAAAAGTTTCAGCCCCCCAAACCCTAGCTCTTGCTCTCTCTCTCTCTTTGCGATTTTCAGTCTCAATAATTCCACTCTAAAACCCTAAGTGCCCTTATATATCGGGCTACAAGAGAGTATTAAATAGGGTCAATGACCCGCAAGCAAAAAAACCGGGTCACAGCTCACTCAACGCGATCCGAAACCAAATTCGGGCCACAACATCACATAAAGACCTCAAGGTTCTCTCATGAAAACATAAACAATAAATACAAAAATAAACTCTAAACACACGCTATTAAGAGATCATATAAATATTTAGAAAACATTTCTCTTTTCATCATCTACATCTTGTATTAGATGACGAGTTATTATTAAAGTGTTAATTATCATCTTGTGGATTTTACATCGTCATTGACACTGAAATAACACAACCTAGACGACTAGTGGCTCAGAATGAAATCACCAGAGAAGCAGAATTGTGAACGGGAATGCAGTTGACTAGTAGATAGAGTGCCTGAAGACTTTTAGGGAAAAGTTTGGATTATTCTGTGTCAGAGGGTAACTAGGGGATTCATGGAGTACAATCTATTAACCTAGGTTGGGTTTTTGAGTTTTTCACGTAAAAATCGTGCGCTCTGCTGTAGTTGCATGATTTATTTGTTTATGCTCTCTATACCTAACTGATAATTATTGCTGCGTTCAAGCTATAACTAAGATGATTTGCAAATCAGTTATTGTCAATCTATTCACCAATCTAAAACTATTTGGGGCCAAACACTTATTGTCCCTCTTTTTGTTGTATCTTTGCTCAACATAAATACACACTAGTTATATCAAATGCAAAGAGATATTTTACCATTTGAAGCTATTTTTTATTTTTATTTTTATTTTTATTTTTTTGCGAAAATAATGGGTGGAATTACATGGGGACTAGGGGTGCATTCCACCTCCCAAACTTTTGAAAAACCCTAATAAATGGGTCCCTTATCAAAAGTGAGTTTCAAAATACGAAATTGATTTAAATCGTAGTTCCCCAAAGCCAATAAATAAACCTAAGTTTGGGCCTTTTAGGTAAGTAAGACTTATGTTGACAAATTTCGTAAAACAAATTCGAGTTGGTAATTTTGTTTTAATTTTTAACTTAGTTAAATTGTTCAAAACTTGATTACTATTAGTTACCTAAAAAAGGTAGAAGGTTGAATTCATGCTACATTCAAGGGAATCTAGGTTAACATTCGTTGACAAGGGTATAAAGGTAATTCGACAAACTGATGCACTCACCATTTAGGGTTCATACACAGCATAATTAGGGTTTCTTCCGAGTTCAATCTTATTTTGATTCCCTAAAATGTTTTAAACATGCATGACATGTTCTGGAAACTACTATTTTGAAAAATTTCAAAGTATAACCTGCAGAAGCATTTGAAGGATTGAGGTATTGATCAAAGACTTCTCAAGAGATGTCGATGGATCAACATCAAATTTAATAAATTGAGCTGTTCAAACCAGCAGTTTCCAAGTTTGTTTCAAACTCTGCTAAAAACTTAATCCGTCTTTACTACTTGGCCGCCTATAAATACCTAACACTAGGGCAGATTAATATACAAGAAGAAGAACATTATATACATCATATTGGGAGCAGATTTCTGTGAGTTTTAGAGTGCATCACTCTCTCTCTCACATTTATCATCTGCATTATTTGGTGAGTGACTTCATATGTGTTGAAATCCATTGTTGCATACTAAAAAGATTAGTTCAACAATACAATTTAATCCACAACCAGATTGACACTTGGACGACTAGTGGCTAAGACCGAATTCCACTAGAGAAGCAGATTCATAAGGACCAACCACTATTGATGGGCGGAAGAGCTGCCAGAGACTTATTAGAGGGAAAGTTTGGACTCTTCTGTGTCAAGGAGTTAACTAGGAGATTTTCGAAGTAAGGCTTGTTAACTTAGAGAAGAAATATGACATAGAAGAAAGAGAAGAGAAATATGTAAAAGGTATGAATGAGATGAATCACTCATTCACAACTCTAGTATTTATAGATAAAAGAGCACATGCTCATATTACAAGAAAGAAAATTAAATCAAATCACAACATATTCTATGGCTAGACATATGCGTAATTAAAGTCAAACTCTATGATTCGTGGCTATCAAATCTCTGCTAATATGGTAAGTCATTCCATAAATCATGGCTATCATATCTGCAAATACTCCCCCTCAAGTTGGTGTGTGGATATTTGAAACGCCTAACTTGGACAATGTATTCTCAAACAGAATCTTGTTGATGCCTTTTATAAGAATGTCTGCAAGGTGAGGAGTGCAAAATTTGACTAGCGATGATTTTCTCTAAAATGAAGTGCCAATCAACAAATCAAGGTGTCTCCCCAGACCACAAACAACAAACAATGTCTCCTCGGACCATTTCCCTTCACACATATTTTTAAAATATGTAGATAAAAGAATCAACAATGTCTCCTTAGACCATTCCCCTTCATACATATGCTTAAACAATGTAGATGAAAGACTTAACAATGTCTCCTTAGACCATAAAAAGCAACCATGTCTCCTCAAACCATTTCCGAAATGGGTGGTGCTGAACTCACAATGCCCTCATTGAGGCCAGACCACCCGGATGGGCGATATCTCCTTAGACTATTCTCGAATGAATGGTACTGAACTTGCAATGCCCTCATTGCATTCAGACCACCCTGGCTCTGATATTGTTGAAATATCTGTATTATTATTATTATTATTATTTTTATTAGTTGTTTTCAACCTTTTATTAGGTGTTTTATGTAAGATCCCTATTATCATGGGATCACGTAGATAAGATCCCCATAATCATGGGATCACGCAGATTTTGGCATATTTCCTATTTTTCTTTGATTTGGTTTCTTTCTTTATATCCTATTCTTGTATATAAATATAGCTCTTGGCTCTCAGTTTGAGTAAGCTAAAACCCA